CCCTTCTTGTCCTTAAATATGTCCCCCCCCCTTCCTGTCCTAAAATTGGTCTGGTATAGTCTAAACCAAGATAAAGTATGGATGAGGAACTCAGCACATATAATAATATCCAATATAAGTTCAACAAAAGATGTTTTATTCCTTTCCGACTCCTGCTGTGTTCCACTTCATTTACAAACCCGGAGACAAATTGTTGAACCAGGGCGAGTTCAACAGGTTCAATAGGGACCCAGAGACTCAAGAGAGTTATTCTATGGAACCCAAAGAGTTCTACTAGGGAACCCAGAGAGTTCAACTAGGGGACCCAGTGAGTTCATCTATGGAACCCAGAGAGTTCATCTAGGGGACCAGAGAGGTGGACTAGGGGACCCAGAGAGTTCTACTAGAGACCCTAGCTCAGACACAATATAGATTTTACTTCTAGTACCTTTAGGTTCTTAGTTTTGCTTAAAACTAAAAGGGTTTAATTAATTAAAAAAACTAATTTGGGATAACATTTGTTTGCATAACATTTATAATATTCCTATGGGTCCCTAGACTGAGATTTATAAATCTGCCCGGGTACCCTAGAGCCTAGAATGATTATCTAAAGAGAGATGTTAGATCCTGACCAGTTCCCCGCCCAACAAGGTCGAGAACTCCGCCCCCTTCTCTTCTTTAGAAATAGTAATCCTTCAATTCTGGATATCAGAACCGAACCTAGCTGTAGATAAAGTAATCCTTAAATCCTGGATATCAGAACCGAACCTAGCTGTATATAAAGTAATCCTTCAATCCTGGATATCAGAACCGAACCTAGCTGTAGATAAAGTAATCCTTCAATCCTGGATATCAGAACCGATCCCAACTGAAGAAATGGTAATCCTTCAATTCTGGATGTAAGAACCGAACCTAGCTCTAGAAATAGTAATCCTTCAATCCTGGATATCAGAACCGAACCCAGCTGTGGAAATATGTATCCTTCATTCCTGGATATTAGAATCGGACCTAGCTGCAGAAATAGTGATCCTTCAATCCTGAATATCAGAACCGAACCCGCTGTAGAAATAGTAATTCTTCAATCCTGGATATTAGAATCGGACCTAGCTGCAGAAATAGTGATCCTTCAATCCTGAATATCAGAACCGAACCAAGCTGTAGAAATAGTAATTCTTCAATCCTGGATATCAGAACCGAACCCAGTTATAGAAATAGTTATTCTTAAATCCTGGATATCAAAACCGATCCCAGTTGTAGAAATAGTAATCCTTAAATCCTGGATATCAGAACCGATCCTAGTCGGAGAAATAGTTAACCTTAAATCCTGGATATCAAAACCGATCCCAGTTGTAGAAATAGTAATCCTTCAGTATGAGGCCTTCTGAGTAGCCGTAGGCTGCAATAAGAGCCGTGCGCTGCGGTTAGAACAGGATAGGGGGCCGATTGCTGCGACTAGGAAGACTTTGGCAGTTACCGCTTGGGAATTTGCACATTTGGAAAGTTGCCCTTGGAAAAATACCCATGGGAAGTTGCCGCTCGGGAAAATGCCTTTGGGAAAGTATCTAACATCCTTTGTAACAGTCCAAAATGTTGTTAACTGAGCACTTAAAAAATTAATCTTAATTTTGTTTTTAATTTCAACCACAAAATATCAAAGATTATATAAGTGATATTTTGACTTGAGAGTTTAAATATAATGATGAAGTGTTTAATTTTTGTCCAAGTCCTCCATACACTAATTACACACCTTGCTAACATCCCCCCTGCCCCCCCCCTCATCACTCTATTTCAAAATATATTCTCCCACCTATACATTATGCAGTCGAGGTGATGAGAATATATAAAAATATTCATCAGCCATCTTTATATCTTTATGAATAATCTGGTGCAAAGTATAGATAAGAAACTATTGCTTCATATTTCCTAATAATCTTTCCGTTCCTCTTCAACATTGTAGTTAGTTATCATACATACAGTAGAACACATAAGAATATCGATCTCAAAAGATTAAAATAAAAAGGAAATAAAAGGATTGCTCTCTAACTTTCCTAGTTTTTGTTGTTGGTGTTTTTGTTTTTTACTCTTCAGTTCTATAATTACCGTTCTGCTAGTACGTTCAGAAAACAGAATAGAATAAAACCCTAAATACTGTAATCTAAGAACGTAAGAATTGGTACACTGTGTTCTTTAGTCAGAGAAATAAAGGATTGGAACACTTTGATATGCAATTAGAAAAAAGAATGAATTAGAACACTGTGTTCTGTAATCCGAGAAAAAAAAAAAATATAACTCTGTATTCTGTAATCAGAGAAAAGATTGAATTGGAACACTGTATTCCCTAATCAGAGAAATAAAGGATTGGAACACTTTATTCTGTAATCAGAGAAACAAAGGATTGGAACTATGTATTCTATATTCAGAGAAAAGAATGGATTTTTGAGCACAGTATTCTGTGATCAGAGAAACAAATAGATTGGAACACTGTATTCTTTAATCAGTGAAAAGAAAGGATTGGAACACTGTATTCTGTAATCAGTGAAAAGAAAGGATTAGAACACTTATTCTGTAATCAGAGAAACAAATGGATTAGAACACTGTATTATGTAATCAGAGAATAGAAAGGATTGGAACACTGTACTCTGTAATCAGATAAGGAAAGGATTGAAACACAGTATTCTGTAATCAGAGAAATAAAGGATTGGAACACTGTATTCTGGAATCAGTGAAAAGTAAGCATTAGAACACTGTATTCTGTAATCAGAGAAATAAGGGATTGGAACACTGTATTCTGTAATCAGAGAAAAGAAAGGATTAGAACACTGTATTCTATAATTAGAGAAAATGAAGGATTGGAACACTGTATTCTGTAATCAGTTAAATAAAAGGATTGGACCACTGTATTCTGTAATCAGTTAAATAAAAGGATTGGAACACTGTATTCTGTAAGCAGAGAAAAGAAAGGACTGGAACACTATATCCTGTAATCAGTGAAAAGAAAGGATTAGAACACTGTATTCTGTAATTAGAGAAAATAAAGGATTGGAACACTGTATTCTGTAATCAGTTAAATAAAAGGATTGGAACACTGTATTCTGAAATCAGAGAAATAATAGGATAAGAATAGAAATGTCTGATTCTAAACCCAACAAAGAAGTTTGTCCTGTGGATAAACCGGTTTACTCTGTGAGCTTCCCTAGCAGTAGGATCGAAGCTTCTAGTATACCTGGAGACAAGAATATATTCAGCACAGCTGATTTATTAATTAATATTTTAACCATTGTTCTCTTCTTGGTTGACTACGGTTCCGATATCTGGGTAATTGGTGAGTCATAAATATCAAAGTAAAAATAAATATCAGAACAGTTGAAGGGGGACCAACAATAAATGAGACTTTAAAAGACAACTGCAAACCAAATAAATCTTTAAATTTTATACCTAAAGGTCTTCATTGAAGTCTCATCATATGATAGTAACCTTTTAATTTATATCCTTTAATCCTGAAAATGTTTTGTTGATTTATCATACTTCTTACTACAGAAATACCCATAAAACTATGGTATAGGTAGACAACATTTAAGCAACTTTGTGCATATCTGATGTTGTAAAAAAGCAAATTGTTCTACCAGAAGATTAAAAATCAATTTGTTGAATAAAATGGGTATGTGTACCCTACACAACCCTGCAAACCAAGTAACGTTACTAATGTTAAATCATAACGTCATGGAAACGTTACTATAAACGTTATTTGGCTTATTGGGAATTATTATGAATTGTGTTCATCAAACTCTTTAATATCTTAATTTGAATACTTTCTAACAGTTGTCTTACTTTTCCAGAGTCCTACTGTAACATTTTGTGTAGGGGTCTTTAAAATATCAACTATCTCAATAACTTAAAGCAAACCCTTAATTCTGAGTGATTAGGAAACTTTGAAGTGAAACAATAAAGGGAAAATGTTATTGAGTTAAGAAGTAGACATGTAATTTCAAACATAGATTGTCCTTAAAAATCATAATGTTAATGTTAATGTTAAGTTCTACTGCATGGAGACGAGGGCTGGTCAACTTTCACTATCTTAACAATCCTTTTGGTCTTTCTCCCTCTTACAGCTGTTAATATACTTAGTGCAGTCTGGTATCATCAGGTTAAATAGCTGTTAATATACTTTGTGCAGTCTGGTATCATCAGGTTAACTAGTTGTTAATGTACTTAGTTAAGTCTGGTATCAACAGGTTAACTAGCTAATAATATACTTAGTGCAGTCTGGTGTCATCAGGTTTATTAGCTGATAATATATAATTCGAGTCTTGTAAATAAAAATTAAAATTTGTGTATAAATTATATTTTGATAACAAAAGAAGTCTACAAATATTGAAAAGTTTTAAAAATGCAGTTTTGGTCCATTTGGATGATAAGAATATATAAGGAAATATGCTGTATTTGTTACTATTAAGTATCTGGTTAGTCCTAGTGTTCTATGTAATAAAGACTTTTATTGCAAAAATATTGGTGAAAATTTCGAAATGTGTATTTTGAAGGATCACCATGCTTCAGAATCAGGATTCTGTCCTGTTCGGAGCAGGTTTGAGGTTTGGGAGCGATCTATCCTCTCCTTTAGTCATCTTTTCTACCTTGGTCCAGTAGTGAGACAAGCTCATATTATCTGGTGCGGAGTCAGGGAAACCAGACCAAGGGGAGATTCATACAGGAAACTCAGGTAGGATAATATAATAAGGATACAAATACCTGAACATCATGGAGCCTAGAAACCAGCCACTTTGTAAACAGGAAACCATGAAAATAGATTGAGAAAAATAAGTAGGAAACTAAAGACAAATAAATATGGAAATCGGAATAAAGACAAGGACAAGGAAACAGGAAAACAAGGACAAATAAATAGAAAATAAAGGACAAGGAAACACTTAATTAAGGACAAGGAAAAGGTTATAAAGGAAAAGGAAACAATAGATAAAGGACAAGGAAACAAAAGACAAGAGATTGAATTCAATTCAACCTTCAATTCATTATTTTATAGAACTTTTAATCTAAATCTTAAAACTTGCAAATTCTTCAGTTTTGAACTCAGGGTTTGGTTTCTCATCTAAGCATGTACATTAACTAGTGTGAATCCAACCAGGGTTCATCCCTATGTACATAATCTCATATAAGTTCATTGCTCCCAGTTGGAGAAATGATGCACATAACAAATGCAATCTAAGAATAAAGCCAAACAATCTAGATTCAGTTCAAAAGGGTATTGAACTCCAGGTATGTTTTCAGCCTTAAATACATGACAGAGTAGGGGGACAAAGGTATTGAACTCCTTCTCTTATCTAGAGATACCACCTGCCAGCCACAGGGTGCAAGAATTGATGCTAGAGAAAGGAGTAACAGTGTAAAGGGACAAGGGTGTTGAACTCTCTTTGTTATCTAGAGATAGCAAGTCAAATGGCATTTATCTTGCCGACATAGAAAGCAGATCTTCAGCCATTTTAGCCCTGGAGTTCCATAGGGGAGTCAGTTAGCACAAAGTATCTGATCAGAAGAGTCAAATGGAAATATATTCGCCCCAAGATCAACTTTAGTTGGTCCAACAATAATCATTTAAATTGTTATAGTGTAAATATAAGTGTGTGTGCAACCATGCTGTGTTATTCCACTCAATCTTGGCTTTTTAATACTGAATTCTATACTAGGCTGTACTATGAGAGAGATGCTGCATATCTAAGTTTAATAGATTCCTTCCTCCAGGATTCTCCTCAGCTTCTTCTCCAGAGCTATATTCTTCTCACCAGGGATTCACAGGTTCAAAATTTAATTTTAATATCTTCGAGTAGTCATAGAGTAGTAGTAATCCTTCTATTCAGGAGTTATCTAATCCCTCTGTTCAGGAGTTATCTAATCCTTCTGTTCAGGAGTTATCTAATCATTCTGTTCAGGAGATATCTAATCTTTCTGTTCAGGAGTTATTTAATCCTTCTGTTCAGGAGTTATCTAATCATTTTGTTCAGGAGTTATCTAATCTTTCTGTTCAGGAGTTATCCAATCCTCTGACAGCAGTTATCCAGGTGGGTTCCGTCCTTCTCTCTCTGTGTTCAATCTCCTTTGGTATTGTAAGCCATGTATCCGCTTCACATTCAGCTGATCCTTCTCTTTATCCTCTTTCATTATCTGCCAGTATCATTCTTTGGTTTTGGAGGTAATATTTATATATATAATATAATCATTTAGGTAATATATATTTCATTGCTAAATATATTGTTTCTTTTATATATAGCAGTTTATCTACAGGATGGGTGTTCTTACCAGCAGGATGCTTACATTTTCACTCTTTCTCTCCCTATATAAGGTTCAATACATTTTCACTCTTTCTCTCCCTGTAGAAGGTTCTATACATTCTCACTCTTTTTCTCCCAATACAAGGTTCAATACGTTCTCATCCTTTCTCTCCCTATACAAGGTTCAATGCATTCTCAATCTTTTTCTCTCTTTACAAGGTTCAATACATTCTCATCCTTTCTCTCCCAATACAAGGTTCAATACATTCTCATCCTTTCTCTCCCTGTACAAGGTGCAATACATTATCACTCTTTTTCTCCCTATACAAGGTTCAATACATTCTCATCCTTTCTCTCCCTTTACAAGGTTCAATATATTCTCATCCTTTCTCTCCCTGTACAAGGTTCAATACATTCTCATCCTTTCTCTCCCTGTACAACGTTCAATACATGCTCACTATTTCTCTCCCTATACAAGGTTCAATACATTCTCATCCTTTCTCTCCCTGTACAACGTTCAATACATGCTCATTATTTCTCTCCCTGTACAACGTTCAATACATGCTCATTATTTCTCTCCCTGTACAACGTTCAATACATGCTCACTATTTCTCTCCCTATACAAGGTTCAATACATTCTCATCCTTTCTCTCCCTGTACAACGTTCAATACATTCTCATCCTTTCTCTCCCAATACAAGGTTCAATACATTCTTTCTCTCCCTATACAAGGTTCAATACATTCTCATCCTTTCTCTCCCTGTACAACGTTCAATACATGCTCACTATTTCTCTCCCTATACAAGGTTAAATACATTCTCATCCTTTCTCTCCCTGTACAACGTTCAATACATGCTCATTATTTCTCTCCCTATACAAGGTTCAATACATATTACATACCTAACTCTTTCTCTCACTATTTAATTCTCTGTATAAAAAAAATTACTCCATATATACTCTTTCTAAGTTTACTCCACTTCTCTCACCCTACTTACTCCATCCTTACTCCACCTCTCTCTTCAAGATTTACTCCATCTGTGCTATCTATACTCTCCCCTTAACCCCTTTATCCTCCACTTCTCAAGGACACATATAATATTATCCTAGATATACAATTTGTTTGAATTAGTTTGAGTTTATTTGGTTCCTGATACTCCACACCTTCCTTATGTTTGTCTGGATCCGAAGGACTGGATCAAACTTCTGTGGATCTCCAGATAATATAAAAAGGTGGATTCTCAAATTTAAACATGTTTGGTTTGTAGAAATAATGGAGATGGATTATATTTCTTTACTAACAGCTGAGTCAGATTTAAACAAATATTATCCTTGTATGAAGATGAACCCGGATACAATATATATACATACTTTCAGACCAGTGGCAGAACTCTTCTATGATATCATTCTTGCAGTTATCTTTAACTTCGATATCATTAATATCAAGGACGGACCTACAAGATGGAGGTTAGTATTTAATCCAGGTAGATCTCAATACAGAGATAGCTGGAAACATATATATTATCTATGTGCAAGTATTGGTAAAGGCAAGTATAGTTGATATATCTAGATTTATCTATTTCTGATTAGATATATCCAGCAGATCTAGGTCTATATAATATATCTAGATTTATCTAGTTCTGATTAGATATATCCAATAGATCTAGGTCTATTTAATTTACTAGAAATTCAAAGCGCTTTGCGCCCTTCTTTCTGGGCTTTTAGGGCGCTTCGCGCCCATCTTCTATTCAAATTGTGAACATATTCTTTTTGTTTACATTTTAAAACAAAGAAGAAAAAAATTTTGCGGATTTTTAAAAAAAATTCGCGGATTTTCAAGAATTAAATTTTTTTTACAAAATTAATAACCTTTAGAACACATTTTTTAAAATTGTTATCATTCATAAACCTTCCCTGTGGTCACGTGATGTCCCACAAAAAAATTGGGCCCGATCGGTTCAGCCGTTTTGACGTTTATTGGATACAAACAAACAGACACTCAAACAGACAAAGAGACAGACAAGCCAAATTTATATATAGATAAAGATCTATCTAGTTCTGATTAAATATATCCAGTAGATCTAGGTCAATTTAATTTATCTAGATTTATCTAGTTCTGATTAAATATATCCAGTAGATCTAGGTCTAGTTGATATATCTAGATTTATCTAGCTCTGATTAGATATATCCAGTAGATCTAGGTCTATTTTAATATATATAGATTTATCTAGTTCTGATGAAATATATCCAGTAGATCTAGGTCTATTTTAATATATCTGGATTTACCTAGTTCTGATGAAATATATCCAGTAGATCTAGGTCTATTTTAATATATCTGGATTTATCTAGTTCTGNGTGATTCTATTAGTTTTTTAATTAGCTACAGGGTTACCCACAAAGTGATTCTATTAGTTAATTAAAAAACGAATAGAATCACTGTGTGGGTAATCCCTTAGCTAATTAAAAAAACGAATTGAATCAATTTCTGAGTAATCTCTTGGCTAACTAAAAAAAGAATATAATCACTTTGTGGGTAACCCTGTAGCTAATTAAAAAACGAATAGAATCACACTCATGAATTAAGATCAATGAAATTTTCCTTTGTCAAAGTAAAATCCAGCTTTCCATTTCTAATCTTATATCTCTAGATGTATTTAAAGATACTAGACAGATATATAAAAAGATGAATAGATACAAGGTAATAGATAGATAGAAAGATAGATAGAAAGAACTATGGGTGAAGAAACATCTTGAATAAATAAAAAGTGACAACCAGAAAATTTTAGTTAAACATTCGGTCAGGAGCTAAGTCATTTTACAATCATTGAGGAGGGGGGAGGTTAGTATCTGTATTCTTGTATTAAGGTAGGAGTCCTGTATTTTTTATTAGGGTGGGAGTCCTGTAATCTTGTATTAGGGTAGAAGTCCTGTATTTCTGTATTCTTGTAATAAGGTAGGAGTCCTGTATTTTGTATTAGGGCGGGAGTCCTGTATTCCTGTAATCTTGTATTAAGGTAGAAGTCCTGTATTTCTGTATTCTTGTAATAAGGTAAGAGTCCTGTATTTTGTATTAGGGCGGGAGTCCTGTATTACTGTAATCTTGTATTAGGGTAGAAATCCTGTATTTCTGTATTCTTGTAATAAGGTAGGAGTCCTGTATTTCTGTATTCATGTAATAAGGTAGAAGTCCTGTATTCTTGTAATAAGGTAGGAGTCCTGTATTCTTGTATTAGAGTAGGATACTGTATCCCTGTAATTTTGTAATAGGGTATGAGTCTTGTATTTCTGTATTCTTGTAATAGGATAGGAGTCCTATATTTCTGTATTCTTGTAGAAGGGTAGGGATAAAGTATTCCTTTCTAAGATAGAAGTCCATTATCCTTGTATTAGGGTAGGAGTCCTTTATTCTTGTATCAGGCGTAGGAGTCATTTATTCCTGCATTACGTTAGGAGTCCTATATTGCGTTTTAGGGTAGGAGTCCTGTATTGGAGTAGGAGTCCTGTATTGAATCTTAGGGTAGGAGTCCTGTATTCCTGTATTATACCAGAATTCATTTATTCTTGTAATAGGGTAGGAGTCCTCTATTCTTGTATTAGTAGGAGTCCTTTTTTCTTTTATTATGGTAGGAATCCTTTATTCTTGTATTAGGTAAGGAATTCTTTATTCTTGTATTAGAGTAGAATTCCTATATTCTTGTATCAGGGTAAGTGTCATGTATTCCTGTATTAGGTTGTACTCCTATATTCCTGTTTTGGGTAGGAGTCTATCCCTTTATGATAGGAGTCCTGTATTCTTCTATTATAGCAGAAGTCCTGTATTCTTGTAAGGGAGGTGTAAACAAAAAGTTGGAATTTCTATCTTTAACTACTGAAAAAGATTAAGCCTGACTGTAGGATTTAGGCTTAATTTCTTATTATACAATATACATAATATATAAAATACATACATATACTGTTTGTAGTTTTGGTAGATAAAAGTCAGGGGGGCTTGGGATGGGGGGGGGGGGTATTTTTCAAGTCTTATTTAGAAATAAAAGAGAAGAATCTGTTGGGTTTGCTAAAAATATTATAAACAGAATCCTATTCAAGTATTTGACCCATATTTCCAGTTTTTTCAATCTATCTTTCTATCTATCTGAGGTAAGAAGATCACAAAAAGTGGGAAAGACAAGAAAAAGTTGGACAGGGTATACACAGCTAAATATTTGGACTGAAATCTCCCCTTTTTCAAACAGGACCAAAAAATTTGGAAACAAATAACAAAAATTCAAAAAAATTTCTTAAGAAATAGAAGGAAGAAAAATTAGGGAATGAACAATATTCTAAAGGGAAGAAAAATGATGATGATGTATCATTATTATTATTATCGTCATACAATATACAAGTATTAGATTTTATTTAATATAAGTTTTTCTATGTAGTCATCTTTGTAAATAAAACAATTTATTTGAATAATCAAAAATTGTGAAAAATAAACATTATTTAAAACTAAAACGAAAAAAGAAGAAAGGAATTGAGTCTTTGCCACAAATTCAGTTTTTGTAAAACCTATATCTTTGCAACCTTATGATGTAAACCTTTGATATTTCAAACTTACATAATTTGATCTATAAGCATTCATAGTTTGAAATATTAAAGGTCTACGACCTTGGGTTGCAACGATATTGAAATTAGAAAAGCAGAGTTTGTGGCAAAAACTCAATTCCTTTAATAAATAAATTTATTAAGTTACTTGCTATAACAATTACTCCGCATATTATGTTAAAGTTCAGAACATATAATTATTTTGCACCCTTTATTCTACACAAAATATAATCAAGTAAATATAATTTAAAATAACTTTGTATTTAAAAATTAAAAATATGAATTTTTAGGATTGTTGAAAGGCGACTGCTTGAAGAGTACGACTTTTCCGATCTTTATGAAACCTGAAAAAAACAGATATAAACTGGCAAAAAAATTGCTAAACCATGGCTCGGGTTTTAAATATTCATTGTTTAAAATGGTTAAATTGTCAACTTTGATTTAATTGCACCTTAAGCCTAGATGATATATATAAAAATGTTACAGTTTTCTTTATCAGTTTATCAGATACGCAAATTGTTAATGCATAATTAAGATAGTAAAATAAGTAATGAGAAATAATTGGCCAGATAAAGAAAAATATTTACCGATTTAAAATCTACAATCTACATATTATCATCTCCGTATAATATACCTAGTGTAGTAAACGTAGATGGATGATATACCAACACAGTAGAGAACCATAACCAAAGAAATACAGGCCGCCTACAAATCAAATTTTATCTTTATAAAGACGTGCATGGGCAACGTAATGAGAGTTTTTAAAGGATTTTAAATCCATTTTTCTTATTCGACATACGTCAGATTTAATTTAATCGGTTTATGCCAAACTCTGAACTCTTATTTTTGTCAAAAACTAAGTATACTTTTTAAAAGCTGTTAAGGTATTAAGAACACTAAATAAAACATGTCTTGTTATCTTTATATCTGCATTGTCTGTTTGTCTGTTAGTTTGTTTGTATCCTAAACGTCAACACGATCCCAATTCTTTTTAGAGCACATGCATAGTCCAATCCCAAGGAAGGTTTATCATCCGTCTGAATTTTAAAAATATTGCCTATAAAAGATTCCGATTTTTTAAAATCCACCAAGGAAAGCATACAAATCCGCAAATTTTTTTATCGTTATTTCGAAATGTGCGAAAGGTTTTGAGGTAGATCAGAAACAAAGGAATTGAATCTTTGTAACAAAATCAAATATTTAAACCTCAATGTCTTTAGAACCCTTTGTTGCAAACCTTTGATATTTCAAACTCTGATTATTTGATTTAACAGAATTCATAGTTTGAAACATCTAAGGTCTACAACACTTGGTTTCAAAGATATAAAGATTATAAAATCAGAGTTTGTGACAAAGACTCAATTCCTTGGCAAATATTATTGCAAGAAATATGGACGCAAAGCAGCAAAATTTATTAAAACTATATTATTATCGAGTAATAATCCAAATGAAATTATAATTCGCAAGAATTTAATGGTGACATCGTAATTGTTTAAAAGCGAAGAAACATGAGAATCTAAAACATTTTACTGTTGCCATTTTATGATTTGCTTAAATGCATAAAATTTAACGAACTTGACACGCATCATATACACAAATATGTTTTCTGGAATATTTAACGTAAATAAAAAATTTTAAAATATCTGCTACAGCCGGTGTTTACGAATAGTAAAACGTACAGGACTAGTTTGATAATATTATGCAACAGTCTTGTAATAAAACATGTAGACTTCTATGCTCCTTCTGCTTTAGTTTTAGATAGGATCTCATAACTATTTTTGAGGATGTAACTTTTGAAAAATTTAAAAATCAAAATCTCAAAGGAATTCTCCTCAAACACGAATTTTCTTATTCATACGTCTTTACAACCTGATGGTGAAAATCTTTGAAATTAAAAAATTAAACTGTTTGATCTAGCAGATTCGTAGTTTGAAATATCAAAAGACTACGACACCAGATTACAAAGATATAAGAGTAAGAAAATCAGAGTTTTAAAAGAGTAATTAGTTCCTTTGAGATATTAATAGTTTTATATAATCAATAAAAATAAAGTTAAAATGCCTGATAGTATTTTGAGTATGTCCAGGTTGGTAAATTAGGTGTACTATGTACTCCATGTACCCAGACTACGAGTAGAACCAGGAGTTCAACAAGGTAGAGTAAATAGAACCAGAAATTACTTAAATAAACAAATACAATTCAAACCTAGATCTACTGGATATATTTCATCAGAACTAGATAAATCCAGATATATTAAAATAGACCTAGATCTACTGGATATATTTCATCAGAACTAGTAATGTTGATGAAACTGTTTTAGTCACATAAATGTATGAATAAAATGGAGTCTTTGTGCTCATTTTATTTATTAAAGGGACTGTAAGCGTAATTTCTAGTGACCCTCCATGCAAAGATGTGGAATAAAATAAAATATCAAAAGTTCATCCTTTTCTTTATGATTGCTCAAAAATTAAAAATATGAAGCAATAAGAAGGTCTGGAATTGTTTGAAAATGTGCGAAATAAAAATAATTGTTTTTTGACTCGTATAAAAAATTATTTAACAACTAGAAATTAATCATTTTTCAGAAAAAATTCTCTTTTAAATCCACAAAAGATCAATCCCTGTGAATTCTAAATGTCCAACTGCTGAAAAATGAACCCGTAAAAAACACTATAACAAACTGCAAAGACAGAAAATATCCCAATTTAAGAAAAGTGAACACGAAAAATGTTTTAGATTTAATCTACATGTAAGTATGACAAAGAGAGCTTCAACCAAACATGAGACATTTCTCAAAAAAATACTCAGAATAGTTTTTAGGCCATAGATATTGCAAAATATGCATTCTGAAATATCTAATTTTGAAATATCAGAGGTTTACATTATTAGGTTGCAAAGATATATGGTTTAAAAAATTTGAACTTTAAAATCATGAAAAACGAAAGCATAATGAGAAAAGTTTGATGTATTTTGGTTCCTTCTGGATATGTATGAAGGTTTGTTCAAGATAGATTTATCTAGTTTATCTAGTTTATCTAGTAGTATGGTGTAAACACAAGAACAGATTCAAATCAAGATCTAACTAACCAAGGTGTTCAATATAACAAGCATTTAAAGGTTTAAAAATATTCAGGCTGTTATTGTGAAGGGGTTAAAAATATCTTGAAAGGTATAGTCAAGGGTTTAGGCTGTAAATATCTAGAAATGTTAAAAAAATTTTAAAATATCTAGAAAGGTATAGTTCAGAGCTTTAAAATTTCCAGAAAGGTAAAAAATATCTAGAAAGGTATAGCTGAGGGTTTAAAAATATTTTGAAAGGTGTAGCTCAGGGTTTAAAAATATTTTGAAAGGTATAGCTCAGGGTTGAAAAATATTTTGAAAGGTGTAGCTAAGGGTTTAAAATAATTTAATAGGTATAGCTCAGGGTTTAAAAATATTTTAAAAGGTGTAGCTCAGGGTTGAAAAATATTTTAAAAGGTGTAGCTTAGTGTTTAAAAATATTTTTAAAGGTGTAGCTCAGGGTTTAAAATAATTTAATAGGTATAGCTCAGGGTTTAAAAATATTTTGAAAGGTATAGCTCAGGGTTTAAAAATATTTTAAAAGGTATAGCTCAGGGTTTAAAAACACTTTGAAAGGTATAGCTTAGGGTTTAAAAATATTTTGAAAGGTATAGCTCAGTGTTTAAAAATATTTTGAAAGGTATAGCTCAAGGTTTTAAGAATATTTTGAAAGGTAGATTCTATGGTTTAAAAACATCTAGAAGGGTTTTAAATATCTTTAAAATTCTATTTCAAGCTTGAAAAAATCTTATAATACCTTGAATTTCAAAATAAATTCATGTGGAATTCAGTAATTCAAAATTCCAAGAAGTCTTGTTTTTTACTTTAACCGTCAACATATCCTTCTTGACAACTTTCTATCAAGTTAAATACCTATCTATGTTATTCACCTATAAATGGTTTATGGCAGTACGTATTGCAGGCTATTACAAGGTTGCAGTCTAGAACAGAGTGGAATTGTTTTTGGTCAGTGGTATTCTACTCTAGGCTAGCCTGGTTTATTGTAGACACTAATCTATTTACATAATACAACCCTTCACAACTATTGTTTTACAACAGTTATAACCAACCTAAACCCCTTCCTACTTTCCCTTGTCATTCCTCTTTTCCCCCTTATTCGCATTCCAATATCAGATTTTTCCGTTTTCTTAAAAAAGAAGGTAGAAATTCATGGAGAACAAGAACAAGGAGAACAAGGAAAACAAGGAGAACAAGGAGAACAAGGAGAACAAGGAGAACAAGGAGAACAATGAGAACAAGGGGAACAAGGAGAACAAGGAAAACAAGGAGAACATGGAGAACAAGAAGAGCAAGAAGAACAAGGAGAACAAGGAAAACAAGGAGAACAAGGAGAACAAGGAGAACAAGGAGAGCAAGGAGAACAAGGAGAACAAGGAGAACAAGGAGAACAAGGAGAATAAGGAGAACAAGGAGAACAAGGTGAATCCTGAGAGCAAGACCATTGACGATTTTTATTTTCTAATTTTCCTAATCTGCCTGGACTGTGAAAGCTGTGTGTCACAAAACCACAAATATTGAATCTACACAATAATACTGTCTGATAAGAGCACACTAAATGCATTTTTCTCTATGTGCAATTCTTAATCATAATGCGGAGAATATTTTGCAAAATCATTTACGTCACTGATTATTTTTTAATTTTTTATTATTTAAATTATAATTTATAATTGATTGTACTCCTCTGATATCCCTCGTCTAATTTTTGTTTTGATTTATAAGGTGATAAGTCATTAAACATCAATTCTATTTTCTTGGTAAATGTTGTGTGAAAAGGTTTGTAATAGCGTAAATTTCTAAAATGGACTTAAGTCATTCCCACAAAATCAAATATTCTAATGCCTATATCTTTACAAACTTTGATTATTTAATCTCGCAGAATTCATAGTTTGAAATATCCAAGGTCTACAATATTGGGTTGCTCAGATATAGGGATTAGAAAATCAGAGTTTGTGGCTAAGACTCAAATCCTTTATCCGTTTTTCAATCAAACATTGAATAAATGTTAAATAAAAAGAAGATATCCCAGTATGTTCTTTATATATCCTCCATGATCTAAAATAGGACACACACACAGTATTTGCAGGATTTATTGGCAAGGATGATTGTATGAGGTACACTTATCATTTTAATGTTTGAATCTAACCTATAAAATATTTTAAAAACTATTTATCTTCTCTTCTCCTGGCCGTCGTTTACCAGAATTACAGGAAATAATCACAAAAAAATAGTATTTTGTCATATTTCTTAAAATCTATTTCTCGTTTTTGAAATAATTATCATTGTTTATCATCAGATGTAGAAAATCAATTATTTTTTTGTTTTGTTTTGAAATGAATAAATGTAAATGGAGTAGTTTTTGGTTCGAATATAATGTGCAGGGCATATGTGACAGATGAGAAACGACTAGAAAATGGTTCGAATATAATGTGCAGGGCATATGTGACAGATGAGAAACGACTAGAAAATTGTCATTGATCTTTGAAATAAGTTGCGGCATTCATAGAATTCATACAATCTAATTTTTCAAGGAAACCTATTCGAAATATAATCACAAAATACACATAGTTCTAACATTTCCAAAATGTGGTCTGCCTTTTTTCCTTGCAAAAATTCCGGAGATAAAAAGC